GTAGCAACATGACTGCTGACAACTTAATAAGTTAATTATTCAACTATCTCTACTGGGTTGTTAGGATGTCAAAAGGCTACTCTGGACAATACTTTGTCCAATGTGTTTCTTCATTCTTCCAGATGGATTTTTGCTTTAAAAATAAATATCCTATTAATGTGCTAAGTATTATTAAGAATTACTAGTTGAAGAAATAATTAAGTTTTGTAGTTAGCTAATTAAAAAAGCACATGTTCATAGTAAAAACGTTTCAAACAATACATATACTTCAATAAAATTGTATTTCAAATATTCAAACAATATAAAAAATCACAAAAGGATAAAGTTCTGGCCCCATCCCAATTTCTAGAGGTTATTACTATTTTTTTTAAATTTTAGAATGTTTATTCATTTTTGAGAGACAGAGCATGAGAGGGGGAGGAGCAGAGAGAGAGGGAGACACAGAATCTGAAGCAGGCTTCAGGCTCTGAGCTGTCAGCACAGAGGCCGATTTGGGGCTCAAACCTACAAACAATGAGATCATGACCTGAGCCAAAGTCGGATGCCTAACCGACTGAGCCACCCAGGTGCCCCAAGAGGTTATTACTGTTAATAATAAATTTCTTGTAGAATTTTCTAGAAATGTTTTATGATCTTTGACTTTACATATATTGAATCATACTGTTGAGGAACTTCTAGTTTCTACTCAGTAACACATCTTGGAAATTTCTCCCTAGCAGTCTGTATAGATTTGCCCCCCGCTTTTTAAGGTCTACGTTGTATTCCCTTGTATGTAGGGACCACTCTTGATGTACCCAGTCCCTCACTGCTTGGCACTATGGTTGTTTCTAGCTTTTGCTATTATGAACAATGCCACGATGAACTCCCTTGTACATGGGGCTTTGTTTGTTGCTACATGTAAACGCACAGTATAAATTCCTGGAAAAGTAACTACTAAGTCAGTTTGTGCAGTTTTAATAGACACTGTCAACTCACTTCCAAAGAGGTTGTAGCAACTGACATTTTCACCCACTAGTGTGTGAGAATGTCTGTGTTCTGCATTCACCAGCATTGGGTGAAAATTATCAAACATTACAATCTAGTAAATCTATTAAAAATAACAGTAATAATATACATGTGTGGAATAGCAGTACCTATTAAGGGATCTCATCTGCAGAGATGAATGTTTACAATCATCTCTGAGAATGGGCTGGTTCCCCTTTGGGAAGTTGCAGGGAGCTAGACCAGGGTCTGAAGCTTAGCTCCACTGGTTATCATCCTAGTGACCTTGGACACAGGTTCATCAAGCTTCTCTGTCTACAAAATGGTGATACTAAATGAAATAAAACATGAAAAAGCTCCTAGAACTAGCATCTGGAACCCATCAAATATTTATTAATATTAGGAAGCACGGCAGAGTCTGTGGCAAGTTTGAGAACGACCCTAGTAAGTAAAAGAGACCTGGGTTCTAGTTCCCCCACCGCCTTCCCACTACTTTTCCCAGTTGCTTAATTTCTCTGAATTTTCTTGCTTGTAAGATGTCAATTTGGATCCCTCCTATTATTTTACTGATTTGGATAAATATGAGGGGCAGAGTTGAGCCACAGTGCAGGTGACATTTTACATTCATTGGAAGACACAGGCAACATCACAGCAAAAGAAGACAGGTGGACTCTCATCTCCATGTCTGTCACTGAGGCAGTGGAGAGAGGTTAGGGACCAGGTCACCTAACTGCAGTCCTGTTTTGGCCTCTTAAAAGCCAGGTGACCTGGCGCAAGTTCTTGCAGCCATCTGAGCCTCAGTTTTCCCAATTCGAAAACACAGATGACAGTAACTAGCTCATGGGCCATTGTGAGTATGAAGTAAGAATCTATGAAAGCACTCAGCAGCTGACTCCTGTTAAATGTTCAGTATATTCATAGACAGCAGAAGTCTCACTGTCTGATCCTAGTTTACTGGTAGATCAGGACAGACAGGATGCTTCCGGGAGCGGAACAAAGAGAAATGTTAGCAGCCCTCACCTCCCAGTCATGCTCCCCATTTGTCAAGGTGACTCACCCAGCCTTTTTTCTCACTTTGGTAACAGTGAAGCGCTCCCTGGCGGGGTGGGGCTGGGGAGGGCACAAAAGCAAGAGTGCTACAGTTTCTTAAATGGCTGCAACCCCAGCTGGGGATCTCTGTCATTCTTCCTGGAAAGAAGTGGGAAAACACAAGTTAAAAAACATTCTTCACTGGTACTGCTTAGTCTGCTTGTTTGCTATTATCCTGTACAACATTTTGCGGGGATTTGAGGCAGAACACGAACAAGCTTTGGGTTTCTGCTGCAGTGTTTCCCTCTCAATTTGTATCTGCTTCCATCTAAGTTTCAGTTATTACATAAACATAAGTTGCAAATATTAAGCTACAAATGGGATCTCTGAAAAGCAACCTGTGAATTATTAATAATTTTTCTATTTTGAAAATTTCAAATTTACGGGAAAAAATGCAAAGAAAAGCCCAATGAATACTTAGATTTTACCCACTGTTATTACTTTGTCGCATATGCTAATGCATTAGTTTTGAGGTGTAGAGAACTGCATTCATATAATACGGTCTCTCTCTTTTCTGCCAGTAGAAGTGTTATAGGGATGGATGTAGGTGTATCAACACTGTGACTCCTAGACACTCAGCTTCCTGAAGTTTGAGATCTGTTGTTCTATTTGGCTATAAGGTTGGGATATAAGGAATCATGTTTGTAATAACTGCTGGATTGATACCTCCTGCACCAAATTTGCACGATACATGATCCCTAAGCCTAACAGGACTGTGTAAGCCAGGTCTTTCATTCCCAATCCACATATTTGGTAACTGACACTCAGATGTTGAATCACTCCATTGGTAAACACAGGTTTGTCTTTTTGACTATAAAGCCCTTTTCACAAAGGTTTTTTGGGGATTCTCAGACGGAAATTTTAATGCAAGCATATGGGAAGTTTTAACTTTAGTTTCTGGAAGAGTTGCAATGTTAATTTCAGGTAATTCCTCAACCAGGGCTCCCCTGGGTGGGGGCGGGTGTTGGCAGTGGAAGGTGGAGGAGTTTTATGGAAACCATAGTCAAGAACTCTATTGATAGAAACCAGAGATGATGAGCTAACCACTCAGCCTCAGAAGACTCATTTTGGGATGGCCACTTACTAGTCATATATGGTTGGACAAATCTCCCTGATGCCCTTTCATTTGTGAAATGGGGGCAACAACCAATACCTGGGTTTTTAGTGAGACTCATTTTCTGAGTTGTGACGATCTTTATTAACACAAGGAATTGACATATTTTATTTGTAGGAGGAAGGAGGGAGGGAGGGAGGGAGGGAGGAAGGAAGGAAGGAAGGAAGGAAGGAAGGAAGGAAGGAAGGAAGGAAGGGAGGAAGGGAGTGGATGGTCCATTTTTTCTGTAGGAGAGAGGGAGGGGTAAATGATCTACCCATCATTTTGGATATCTAAAAATCAAAAGAAACAAATGATTCCTAAAACCCTCCTTGAGTGTAGGGGGTGGGGTGGGGGACCGACAGAAACTCACAGTCTGGGGAGAGAAGAAACCATTTTCAAGAATTCCGTTGATTTGCGTTCAGAGAACGCATCCCCAAGTGTTCCTTCCTTGTGGCTGTGGGAGGGAAGGAACGCGTGGAGCTTTGAGACCCCAACGGAAATAACTTTCCAGGCCACGGGACCTCACAACCCTTCGCTCTGGCTTCCAAGGCACCCAAGGATGCTTTTTCTTTTAGCTCCTCCCGGGCGGCCAATGTCAGGTTGAAAGCCTAAGCCCAACACGCACGTGGGAGGATCTTCTGGATAGCCACTCTCCACGAGCTCTTGGCACAGATGTTTCTGTGGCACCAGGTGCCTCCCCCAGACCTCAACTCGCGGACAGGACATTAAGCTGCACCTTGAGCGTGGCTCACCGCAGATGCCCGCAGCCTCAGCTGTGAGCTGGCGTGTGCAGGTGAACGCTGGCGCACACCCCACGGACGCCGGGACAGCAGACGGAACTACCTGAAGCGAATTTGGCAGCGCGATGTCAGCGAACTCTCTCCTTTTCATCCTTTACATTTCTACTGAGATCTCGCCAATACATAACAAGAATAAAACATATACATGGTTTTGTCTTTGCACTCCCAGATCATGTGGGAAAAATGAAGAGAAAGCCACAGCAGGTCCCACTGGCTGCTTCCAGGAGACCCCTGAAATCAGCAGCCGGAACTGCCAGTGTGGAGAGCCCTCGGGCTGGTCATGTAAAAGCCGGAGGTTAGACGTCCCACCAGAAGTGGGGAGGTTCGGACTTTCCCCCCCGCCGGGGCCCTTCGGACGAGAGTGGCGCTGGCCGGGCTCCAGACATGGGAAGGTGCCAAGCCCCACTCACTTCGCCCTGGCGATGCGCGCGCCGGACGCCAGGGGCGCGCTCCGGGCTCAGCCCGCCTTGCCTTGGCGGGAGCGCGCGAGGTCGCGCCCGCGCGCCTCCGGTCCCCAGGGACAACCCGGGCTGCAAGAGCTCCGGGCAGAGGCATGACGGCGGCCGGCGTGGCAGACAGGTGCGGAAATCTCTCTCGCCGCCTCACGCATGATTTGCGCTGCCGCGCTGCGGTGTTTCAGGCCGAGACCGTGAGGGGCGCAAGGTGGCGGTTGGCGCGCGCCGCGTTCCCTCTCCCCTGGCCGCGCGCTCTGGGGTCAGGAATATCCGCGGCTCACACCGGCGCTGAGCAGCCCTCCGGGGGCCGAGCGGCTCCCGCCGGCCGGGGAGACGCCCCCTGGCCCCCGCCCCCGCGTGGCCCGGCTGGGCTAGCGGGAGCGGCGGGAGGAGGAGGAGGAGGCGGAGGAGGCGGCGCCGCCGGGACTGCCTCCTCCCCGCCCCTCGCGTCTCCTCCCCGCGCCACCGGGAAGGACAAGGGGACTGGGCACGGGGACCCCGGCCAGTGAGCGCCCGTGCCCCGGGGCCGCCCTTTGCGTGCGCTCTCTCGCCTCGAGCCCGGGGCCGGCCTCGCCTCACATGGTGCTGGCCGCAGCCATGAGCCAGGACGCGGATCCCAGCGGCCCGGAGCAACCCGACAGAGATGCCCGCAGCGTGCCGGGTGCACCGGCGCCCCCCGCGGCCCCCGCGCCCCCAGGCCCGCGAGGGATGCCGCCGCCGCCGCCGCCGCCGCCGCCCCCAGCCGGCCTACCGCAGATCATCCAAAAGTAAGAGGAGGGAAAGGGGAGCGGGGACTCGGGGTGCGCTGTGGCTACATCTCTCCCGTCGCGGCTGAACTCTGCGCGGCCGCCTTGCGTGTGAAGTTTTCGCGTCCTCCCTCTGCGCAGGGTCGGTGTCATTCTGGCTGTGCGTGAGGTTGGGAATAGGAAAGCCAAGTTATTTGGGGGAAATAGGTTTGTTTTTCCTTATCCCCTTTATCTTCAGGAAGGTTACTGGATATTTTGAACGAGAATAGCTCACATTGGGGGAAAATGGCCCAGAGACTCTGTTTCATCCCTCTGGTCCCAAGAGGCCGCTGGAATGTGCGGGGAGCCGTGCGTGAGTGTGTGTGTGCGCCCGTGAGGGTGTGTAAGGAAAATGCCGCCACCAAGCAGCCGCCCTTCATGGTGTCCCCGGCGTAGTCCGCGGGTGGCACTGGGTGGAAAGGATGGTGAGGCTTTGTAAACAACACGTTTGCTTTGCCCTGAAAGAAGTGTTCACGCTTTTCAAGAAGGCCCTCGCCAAGAGCTCTTAGCCACGCCACGGCCAGCGTTTTGCATGAATGTTACCATCTTGCGAATCTTAGGAGCCGGCCCTCCCAACCGGGGCGTAGGTTGGGGTGGCCCCCGAGCTCAGAGAAGGTCTTTTTCCGCCCAGTTTTTGGGGGCGTAACAGTGAAACGCGGATCTTTTATTAGTTCTTTCGAGATCTTTTTGATAGTTTAAGGCCTAGAATATTGGTTTGTTTGAAGGATCTTTATTCTCCTGAAGGCTTCCCTCAGCTTGTCCTGAAGTCAAAACCAGTTTCAAGAGTGTAGAGGAGTCTGAATGATGAGCGGGTGGGTGAAACTGACGATTCGGGAGAAAGGCTCCCGGTACAGCAAAGTGCACCGTGGGGAGCAGAGCGGGGTGTTTGCAGGGCTGCTGTATTGATGCTTTGAGTTACACAAACGTATGAAAATGCAGTAAGAGAAAAAACCAGCGATGGGGCGTAAATGGAAGTAAATGGCGTTTTAAACGTTGTTCGAAAGATTGACTTTAGAAAGAATAGTGAAAATTCAAGTTTGGCATCAAAAAACACTGGTATCATATTTCAGAACAAAATGGTTCCCCTTTTCTGACTGGTGGAATACTAAAGCTCCATTCGTGACAACTTTTTGCTTTCATTCGATTTCACCTGACTTTCAGCGACTAACAAGATGCTAACAATTTGAACATGAAAATGATTTACACTATTTTTGTTCCTATTCTGCAAAATTATTTCAGCTAAGATTTAACTAAATATGATGGACAGTTTAAGTACGCCATTATTTAAAATTTATCTTTAGTTCTTAATATAAATATAAACCAACAGAGAAAAAGATGTTTAAAACTAAAGCTTCTCTACTAATAACAAACAAACAAATTGGCCAGTTATTAATTGGAAAACATCTGATGTGCTTCTTACCAGAAATGTCTTGTGGCTTGAGATTAGGCTACACATTAAATTTATTGAGTTTGCTGTGGTATTGTAAATTGGTAAATGCGTTTTCCTATCATTTAAATAGGAAAAAATGAGGAATTTTATGTTCACAGAAATATCTTTGTAGATCGGTGTCTCATTTACCCTGTTCTCCCCATTTTGAAAGTTCTGTCTCTGAAATATGTTACTTGAGGAGATAAGAACTTTTCAAAGGTGACCCCTTCTGCTAACAGTCCAGGATGGGAACTTCAAGAAGAGCCTAATGGCCCTGCCTTGTTTTGCATCGGTGACAGATCAGTGTTCAGGGGGCCACGTTCAAGGTGGTGATTATGCCCCTGGGAATGGATGTTTGTGCGCTTATGTTTCCAAAACTTTCTCAATAAGGATGATCTGAGGTTTGCTCCCCTCAGAACCCACTGAAATTGCGCTGGAACCAGGCATAACATGGCAAATGCTTTACGGGTCCATCTTTAATGCGCTGAAACTTGAGCAGGTTATTTTGAAACTACGTTTGCATAATTTAATCTGAGCATCCATTTTTATGTAGTTATGAGGTGCCGGTTGCCTCAGCCATCTTTGAGAAAACGCAGTGGGGAGATTGCCCTCGGCCGCAGAATCGATTGCCCACATCTTGACTGAAAATTTTGTGAGCTAGAGCTCACAGGATAAGATTCTTCTCTGGTGGATGGCCTATTAAATATATCTTATTCGAGAACCTTTGTTTATTCTAGGTATTTTAGTGGGGTCATTATGTAATTCGAAAGAGGAGAAGCTTTGAACTCTTTCATAATGATGCAGATGATCAATGTTATTCATGTGCATAGCGTGTGAGAATTACAAGAATTTTTTTCACTTCTTAATGTCTGTGTTTAGTGATTTTCATTTATATCAGCTCGCATTTTGGATAAAGTCAAGGACTTTGATGAAATAATAGCCATGATCATAATAAAAGCCTGTTCCTCTTCATGTGTGTCATATTTGGTCTTAAGAGAACTGCTTTATTCTGTAAGTAGCTAAACACATGAGGTGTGATGTTGAATAATGGGACTGATTTTGATACTTGTTTTATGATAGCCGGTCTCGGTACTCAGGAAGATTGCAACGAAAGTTCATTTCTGTAGAGTGCTTTTGTTCCAGTCAGGTGTATTTAGTTTTCTTATTACTGCATTCTTAGCTTCAGTCAAGAATCGCCCCCAACCTTTCTGCTCAGATTGACCCCTGACTCCTGGCCCATATTAGCATCACCTGTAAAGATCATCAGCCATGTTTAGACATACAACTAGTATCTTGTAAGATCTTTGTTTTAAACTTGCCTTCTCTAAGCTGGCCAATGTGGAGATATTGCGTAAAATGTAAAGAAGCATTAGGTAAACCATTTGGGCAATAAAAAATATAAATTACAACTTAAGATTTCAGATGAGTTCAGAAAGTCAGAATAATTTGATGACCTAAAATATGTGTATTCTCCATATTAGGAGAAGACAACATTGCTGTGCTCTGGTGGGTGTTTTATAAGGACTTATCTCCTTAAGCATTCACAGCATTTTATTTCCAAAAGTATTTTATGTTTTAATTTTGTGCTTTCAAATCAAACCTAATTCTTGATTTACAACTAGTTATTTACTAACCTGGATGAACAACAGAAGCTGAAGTTCAGGTTGTAAGTTTTGAAACTTTCTTCCCAATGGAAACAGAGTCAGTAAATTCTGTGTGAAATATTGAAGTCTGTTGTCAGATGCAACTATACAGTGTCACTAATCATGGTGAAAATTAACCAAAGAAACACACACTCTTCTGTGAGGCGAACACGTACGTGATTTTCCTAAATAATCTGACTGGCGGCAAAATATGACTTACTGTTTAATGCATGACATTAGTTTGTACATCTGAGTATAGATGAGTTATTTTATTTCCTTTCCAGATTATTTTGATAAGCAGTGACTAAAAGTCAATTATAAAAATAGAAAAGGTTTTGGTTTAGCATTTGATAGCTAGTGTTCCCTACATGTATAAATCCAGCTTCGATTTCTAAAGTTTGTGTCGTCTTCTGCATAGCATTAGGACACTGGCTGACTGGTTTCAGAGGAAAGGCTCCTCAGATTCAGTACAGAAAATGTTATAAGTAGTTATTCTGTTTGCAGGTCATTTTACAGACATTCTGCATTTGGAAAGATCTCCAGGTTACTCTTAGGGAGCAGTGTACAGGAAAGTTGTGTGTGATGTCCAGTCACTTTGATGGGCATGTTGACAGTTCCATCCAGGATCGGGGAGGAAATAAGAATTTGCCAAAAATGGACATTACCTCACACTCACACTTGGTCCTTTTCTGGAAGGAGGATGGAATTTCTAACATCTGCGCCAGTTTCTAACATCAGTTTGAGTCCATTTTTAGGGAAAACAAGGATACACTTGTACAAGGAATTTTGAAAATTTTGAACACAGTCTTACGCTGCACGTCGTTCAGCAGAAAATATCCGAGAGGATTAAGTGTTTACCCAAAACAGGGAAGGAGAGAGGGTGGGTTCTTAGCATTCTGAAAAGTTTCTTTGCGTCTCTAGAAAGGTTTTTTTTTTTTTCGTAAAATTTTTTTTTCTTTAGGGTTTATTGTGATCTGTAGTTTTAGATAGTAAGTGTAGCCATCCAGTTATGAGTTGTTGGTTTTTTCAAATTGCCAAAGAGATCAGTATTATGAAATGTAGTACATTATTCCCATTAGTCATGGTAAGTGACTATGCATATGGTGTACATAGAGCTGTTCTAATGTCAGTGCTGTAAGGGGGGGGCGGGAGAAAAAAATGATCCCCCATTTTATTCTTCTATCCACTTGTTCTCTTGCTACCTTCTTAGTAGTTGATCAAATTAATAATTTAAAAAACCCAGATCTGTTGGTTGGAATGTGTTAAGATCTGATCAGTTAAGATCTCTTTGCCTGTCCTTATAGTCACCGGGGGGAAAAAAAACCCCACCAGGACTGACACACAGTGAAATGATCCCCCATTTTCCAGTTTCTCTGTCTTTCTCTGATTTATTTGTCTTGTGGCTGCAGGTTCCTTGACTCCAGTTAAACTAATATTTCTTCCCTGCCCCTAACAGCTAATCCTTAAGTAAACAAACAGATACGGCTCAATTCACAGCACTGATAAACAAGAATCTAAGAAATGCTAGAAACTGGGGTCTAACCAAGGGATAGGAGTAAAATGGACTGAACCAAACACGGGAAGCGAGAATGGAAGAAGGTTGAGATAGTGGAGTTAAAACTCCAGAGAGAAATTGGGACGCAGGGCACCCCCCTCCCTTCCTCCACCGTGGTCCCCCTGCCAGACAAAAGCTTGAAAGGGTCTCCTATGTCAGAAAATCCCACTTAATCTGATTTTTATTTTCTGCCACAGTAATTATCTTGTTTAGGATGGTCTGACTGATATGATCTTGTATATTTGAACAGGGAAAGTTGCTGTGGGTCCACAGCTGGTGCGAGTGACTGGTAGCTGTGTTTAGAATAGTGCACTGAAAAGTTTTGCAGGAAGTAAAGTGATCCGTAGTCCAGAAT